CCGGGCGGGCTGCGGCACTGCGGCGGAGAGAGTGAGTGACACCCCCAAGTCGTAAGGATCCCGGCGTCGCGGTCCTCCCCAGCAGGAAAACTTGCTCACGCCAGGTCTGCCGGAGCTGTAGTGCCGGCAGAGCCTGGTGCTGTCAGCGCCATGATCTGCAAACGCCTGGCAGAAAACAGAGAGCAAGGGAGTAGCTGCAATTACAGTGGCATGTCTAAACTAGCAGTTGTTTAGGGTTTTTTTTAACGGTAATTGAGCTGTTAGCTAACTGGATTTTAAGGTGCTAAATTGTTGATCTATCTGGCCTTTCAAATGTTATAGATTTTGTGGTTTTTCCCCCCTAGAGCCAAGTTAATGGAAAAAGCGATATTCCTACCTACAAGAATGGTACTTTCATCTTGTACCATCACTAGTTAGGCCGGTTCCAGTTGTTCCCCATGTATCAGTACCACCCAGACTAACATCAAGGCTCATCCCACAGGGTAGCACTGATCAAACAGAGTGACCCTGGATCCTCCCGTGCAGGGTAAGTCTCTGTGAGCTGCAAAGTAACATACTGTGCGTTTCCACCAAGGAGAACTTAAACCCTGGGCTGAGCCTCTGTGGTTTCCTTATGCTGGCTGAAGAGGCGTTTGTGCAGGCTGGGGCAGTGCAGTGTCCTGGAGTTGCACGTGGCTTGAAACAGCGATTTTCAGTGGTGACCCGAGAGCTGAACACCCCACTGCCACTGCTGCTCATTGTCCCTTCTGTTAATGCACTTCTCTCAACAAAACAACTCATCACCCCCTTTGCTTTTCTGAGTGCCAGTAAAGTCAGCGCTTCCCTAGTCACCTGCCAAAACCTTTGGCTGTCTCCGTGAGAGCTGTGCTTTTTTCCACTACAAAACCTGGAAGCAAGTTAAGAAGTCAGCGCAGTGCAACACCGAAATTTCACGTTGCACAGCAGGAGGAGACCCCTCTTCTTGTGTTTTCTTAGTTATTTTAAAATAGACCGAAAACTGCCACAGAAGCCTCTTTCCTCACCAGCATGCAGGCTGCCTGTGGAAATTGGGTTACACGTCCTCTGGGCTGTGCAGGACCTTGAATGAAGAATGACCTTTGCTGTCCCCTCCTGAATCTCTTAGTCGGCTTTTGTGCAGTAGGGGACAAGAAGAAATACCCAAAGTAGGTCACTGGACACTGTGATACAAAGGCTGTCACCACGGGCTGATCGATGAGGCCACTAATGAACAGTTGCGTTACGGCAGCTTTCCCAGCATGAAGAACGAAAGCCCTGCTCTGAGCCGGGGTGGCCAGCACGCCCGGCCCCCCACACTGCCCCGCACTGCCTGACATTCGTCCCCTTCTTACCCTCCGGGCAGATGGTGGTCCTCAAACCACAACCAGAGATGACTTTAAAACCGGCCCCTTCAGCTATGGCTCCTGCCCCTAATTTTTTTTTAAGCAAGGATTGGAAATGCGTTTCCAAGTAGCCTTTCTCCCCCTAAACACATGTAAGCTGGGTGGCACGGCGGGCCTGTCCGGGCAGCTGCAGTCCAAGCCCAGGAATCATCCTGGACAGCGACTGATCCATGGCTGAACGTCTCTCGTGCAGCCTGAGGCTCACAGCCCCCCTGGTTCCTGCAGCCAGCTGCCGAGGCGTGTGTATTGCCACCGTTACGTGGACATAGGGTCACTGAAGAGAACCTTTACCTGTGGCACTCCCCCCGCCCCCCAGCGCGATGGCATCCCTTTTTCTGCTGCAAGAAATGCCCCCAGGTAGACTTTTTTATTCTTTTCACTCTGGGACCGTGTTTTTAAAATGTGGAAGCTGGAGTGGTTTTTTCACCCCTTTTTTTCCTGTGAATAACGGGAGGGTGGTGCTGGGGTGCTGCCCGAGTGGGTGACGGGGGGTCCCGCAGCCAGCGGGAGTGGGGTCGGCCGCCCTCGATGGGTGCTCGGGCAGAACCATGCGAGGTTGGTGGCTCTTTGTGGGGAGGTCTTCAGGTACAGAGGGACTTGGGTGAGCTTACCGGGATGGTGCTCTTTAAGTTAGGTAAAAGCCTGTCTGGGAACAAGCACTTCTTCAGGCCAAGACAGTGATGGGACCTGATGCAGGGTGGGGTGTGGGTGGCTGGGGGATGCCGATTGTTTTCCCTTTATGTGGAAGGTAAAGGCAGACTGGCAATCCACATTAGAAGATACCCAGCAAAACTACACGCACAGACAGAACTATCTTCTTTATTATAAAGATACACTATGAAGAACAAACCTGAATGTATACTGAAGCTTGTAATGGTACATGCCAAAAATGTACAGTACTATACATAAAAGTGCATTGTCACAACAGATTAACAGTACATTTCTCTTCCAGAACCGTGAAATTTCCATGTTTTTATTTGTTCTTCGAGAGTGGAAGGAATGCAATGGGAATGCAGCCATACACGAACAGGGAAGGATGCAATGGAAATGCAACAGTACAAGAGCAAGGCTAAAGCTCCTCTAAAATTTAAAGGCACTTTCACATGTACATACTACAGATGTACATTGACACAATTAGGTAACAGTCAACAAGCAGGAAGCTACCAGTACTGCAATTTATCAAACTTGACAGTAAAGGACAATACTGATTGGATTAGGTGTGCAGGAGTTACCTTTTAGTACGTCTGTAGTTGTAGCAGTCTTTCCTGTTACATATCCACTTACTATACTTTTAAGTATCTATAATAACCATCAAACTACACATTTAACTGTGTGAATGCACTAAGTGGATGCATTCACTAAATGCACTGTTTCTAATATTTTCTTTTGCTAAACAATTTCTAATATAAGCATTATGGAATCCAGTACAGTTATTTAAACATACAAAATTCCCTATGTAATTCAAAGATACAGGTATCCATCTCAATTATGCCAGGTGGGTTAATTTAGAAACGCTAGACTAAAACTGCATGTAAATGAAAGCTGAAATTCCAGTTTGTTCCACTGATTCTAGTAAATTGGGGAACTACTTGAAAACGTCTCTGGTCCCGACCAAGTGAACAGACCCTATAGACCAGCGCTGGTCTGCAGCTGGGGCTGGCCTGGCTTAGGCTCTTGCCCCGGCTTTAGGACTGGGCAGTAGAGTCAAGGGGGCTGGAGGTTCACTGACCGACGCTGCACCTCGGATTAAGACTTTGCCTCTAACCTAGACGCAGACGCGTGTGACGTCTGCGGCTGGATTGAGATGGGGTTGCAAATACCAGGAGCAGTTTGGCTCTCAGTTCATGGGGTAGTTTTCACACCTGGGGCCTTGCATTACCTATCTACAGGGTGTAAACCAGAGCAGGAATAAATTGCTCCTAAATAATAACAGGAAATGACTCCTGTCACCTCAGTAATTATGTCTATCAAATTTTGTCACTACGCTTCCCCTCCCAAACTCAATTTTTTATGTATAGCGAATGGTACAACTTCAAGCTTTCCAACGGTGAGATCTTAAATAATACATGGAAAGACAGGTCTTAAAGCCAGTTGTACTCCTGTAGGTGGACTACAACGGATTTTTTTTCCCCGTTTTCTTCACTGAAACTTATTTTATGGATTGGATGTCGGAAAATATATTCACAGAAATAATATTATGGCTTACTGTGGCAATGTGCAAAACAGCTGTACATTTAGTTCACGCCTAACAAAGTTTAACAACAGAGCGCTAAGCAAAGTTGACAGTCGTCACTCATACAGACATAAGAAAGGTACTGATTTCTGTCATTTAAAAAAAACAGGGGAAGGGGGGGAAAGTGTTTACAGAAAACTTTAGTCAGCTTGAATCTAGGCGGTAGAAACTCAGCTGTCTGTCCTGCAACTGACCCCTGCATCGCTGGCAGGAGGTAGTCCCCCTTCAGAGTCCCTGTCCTGCTGCTGTCAGCATAACCGAGGACGTGCGCAGTCTCTGCGCTGTGCAAGGCGGCCAGCAGAGCCAGGTCAGCTCGCAACTCCGACTATTACAACTCAAATCATGTCTTTAATTGGACACCGAGCAGTAAAGGCAATGGGATACTTTGCTGAATTACCGTGTATTTGATCCTTTTAATCGCCTATCAGCCTGCCTAATGGACCAACAGATTCACGTACTCCCCAGAGCCTGGCTCGCTCAACTATGAACTTTAAATGAAGTTAGCTTTTGTGAAAATATGTAGTCTCAGGGAATGAAGGCCTAGCTTCATGGGAAAAGGTACACTGTTACAGAGGACAGCAAAAGGAGTTTCTAGATACTATCCTGGAGATGTGCTTTAGCTGTGACCTGGAATGCTGCTTTTTATCGGTGAGAGCAATGTGATCTCCAGATCCATCCAGTGCTTGTCTCTCGTGAGACTGCCAACAAGAAAGCTAAAACTCGGTGCCGATTGTGAGAGTTGTGAGGGCTTGGTGGATTATTTTGGTGTGTCTTAAATAAGAAATGTGGCCTGAGATGACTTAGACATTCCACACAGACACTTAATCCTCACATGCTAGATTTCAGCTCTTACTAACCTGCTTGAGATTTGGTTTAGTGACCCAGAAATAAGAGGTCCCCCCTCCCCTGACTCCCCCGCCCCTTAGTTTTGTGCAGGATCTGGTATTACGGTACGACTGTGAAGTATGGTACAACGTGGCAAGCTGTTTGTGATCTGTGTTGTTTTTATTACAAATGGTGCAGCATCAAGTTTTCAAGTAAGTCTATGTTTGTTTTTTAAAACGATGCACAATTGTCCAGTTTTTCTTTTAATTGAAACCATACAAAATACAAATGCCCATGTTAATGTAGCTAGTTTCAGACAATACATTCAAAAACACTGAAAAACAAAGCCTCTCCAGTTACAAACATGAACAAACGATGTTATGGAGCCCTGACTTCTATCGTTAATCCATCCCTTCCCCTAGCATACCCAAGCCGGGCACTGTGGGTGGCTGAGCTGTCTACATTGTGCAAGATTTGTCGGCTGGACCCTGGGAAGGAGGGGAAGGCCCTATGCTAGGATTTGTTTTTGGAAGAACAATAGGTTTTGGCCTAAGAGCAGGAGGTTTCAGCTGCACTCCCATTCTAGGGGCCACCATGGGCTTGAAAGTACTCATGGTATCACTGGAAGAACTAGTGCTACGGCGGATCTGAGGCTCGGAGCTCCTTAAAACGATGCTGTGGAGAGGGCTGAGCGACTCCGTGGAGGTGGCAGGGGTGGGGGTGTTTTTCATTTGTTCCAAGGTGTCCAACACGACATCAGGGGCATGCTTTGCCGAGCTCTGCCGCTCCAGCTCACGGAGCTCGTTCAGCGCCGTGTTCATCGTCTCCTCGATGTCCTGGGTCAGAGCACAGAGAGAGCGGCACATCATTCAAATTGCTACTGAACGCAATTCAGGAGGAGCAGGAAGAGGGGGTGAAAAATGCACCCTCTCCTTAACAAGTATTATAGTGCTAAAGCCAACTTCCACCAGATTTATTTGAAAGACACTACGATTGTCAAGATGGCAGTTTTGGCTGGACTTCACAAATACTTAACCTGTTCACATGAGAGAGTCAAAATTCATCTAAAAAAATTTAAAGAGCAATTAAACTAAAACCTGAAAGCCATTTTACTAAGTGATTTTCAGGACATGGATATTTGCTTAGCAGCATTTTTAACGATGAATATTTCTGTCATCTCTTGGCTACTGACAGCTGTAAAGATTTTAGTCCATTTGCTACCTCTCAGCTGACTGCTCTCCTCATCTAGTGCCCCAGGTGTTCAGGATCTGTATTCCCTCACAGGGGATTATAAATCAGGTTTTGTAAGGAAATAAAGCTTGTTTGTCTATCAGCTCTTCTCTCCTCCTGTTCCTCTAAGTTAAATTTTAAGCAGAAAAGAACCTGCAAGACATTGTTCAGTGAGCTTACCTAGGAAATTATTTTTTTCGTCAGGATTTCTGGCACAAATGCTAAAAGAATGCACACTAGTTCACTATTTTTCAGTGGTATTGAGATACAACTGAGGTTAAGTATCTGGTGTTCCCTGCTTGCTTACAGTAACTTTCATGCATTTTAATCAAAGTTTGGGTTCTCTCACTGCCAAATGATCACTAGTCTATGCATCAAAAAAAATAGCTTAAACCAAACAGCACTGTGTGTGGTTCCAGGAAAGTAAATAAATAACTTACAGTAAAATAAAACAGCAACATTTACACTTTCTAACTCTCTAAATACACAGTTCAGCTTTCTGACCCAAGCATGACAGTCCCTTCTATTCCTCGTTGGAAGCAGTCTGAAAGCAAGCATCACCAGTACATTAAATTTTAAAACATGAGTGCTAGCGTTATTGTAAAATACTTTTGCAATCATATTGTACCCTCAGGGTGCCCCTAGTAATCATGTTATACTACCTAGACAAAACGCGAGTTCTGAAGACAGCAGTATCTATTTGCTCAAGAGCTGTTACCAGCTCTGTACAACAGACCAACTTGATGATCAGGGTGCTCCCTATTCCATCCTTCTCACCTCTTCACTGCCAGGAATGAGACTGGTGAGTGTTCACACAGCGATAAGATGGCCCACAATTTGTGCCGGTGCAATGTCTTGCACATCATGTTCTTAGGCACAACTACAAGCATCAAATCAACATACGGTATGAACTACACGAAAACTATGTAAAATGCACACGGATTGTAAGTATTTCCTTTGAATGGCAATGGTCGCTACTAACCAGTCAGAGCACTTTTCTGCAGAGCATAATACTGAGAAATAATTGAACACTAATTACATGCAAGTTAGAATAGGCCAGCCTTCATCAGAGCACGCAGATTTACATAGCTGTTGTAATCATATACTATCTTAGTGTTCTGGGTGGCAGAGGCAATTTCATTATGGTATAACAGGAAAAAATTTCTTTTTATTGCTACTGCAATGTCTACTCCCCCTTGTGTTTCTTCTATCCCGGAGCCCTTAATGCATCTTCTTTCACATGCACTCTGTTTAAAAAGCTAAGCAGGATATTCTCCTGCACGCACACTCCTACCAGTGTACGTGCTCTGCGCTATGCTATTCACTGAGACTTGCCCCTCAGAAAATCAGAGAGTGACATAAAATAAAAAAGACACAAACCTGAGCTATTGACTCTGGGTCCAGTGGTTTATGGTCATTGAAACCCGTGTACTGACCCGATGATGTAGATCTTCTAATTGGAGGGCTATCAATCTTCTTCAGAGAATCGTGCCTACTGATGTTGGTGAGACTGCCATGTCCAGGCCTACGCCTCCTTTCAGGGCTGTCGGCATTGAGGTTGCGATTTTGAAGGAGGGCTCTGGGACTGCAGTGAGTTGCCAGGTTGGGGGAACCTAGCTCCATGGAAGAGTTGGAAAGAGGGTGAGGTGGGTGTACAGGGCAGTGACCGTCACTGCTCCTGCCAGGGCGTCTTAGAGGAGGTGGAGGTTCTGATCTCTTTCTTTGCCTGCACCAATGAATAAGTGGTTATAGGACAAGTTATAGTGACCCACTATAAGCACATGGTGAAGCAATTGCTGCGTTAACCGAGCTGTAAGCAGTACTACTGAAAACATGTTATGCTCAAGCTTACCTTCCTAAATACACATCAGAGTGACGGTCAGTGGGAGAGTTCATGTCCTTTGATGATGACTTGTCCTCAGTTATGGGTCCGCTGCTGGCCTCACTGTCTGCTTTTTGGCTCAGTGTATCTGAGAAAGTATCATCCCTGAACGGAACACACATGGTGACATGAGAAGTCAGTGAGTTAGGTGTGACAGAGAGCATCTTGGCACTCCCAGATTTTAATCCCCTTAAGAAAAGCAGGCATGTTGTAATGCACTACAGCCCCTCCATGTCTCCAAAATTGCTTATAATCCTTCTGTTTACTGAGTTCTTTACATTTTGACTGTAACCTTTCTGAAAATGAGAACTTTGTCTTCCTTGGCAAAGCACATGCTTAATACTGTAAAAGAAGAGTTCAAGGCTGCATTCTCCAGCCCTTGCTATTCTGAAGTTAAATGTCAGCAAATGCTACACAGAGATAGTCAAATTAAAATAGGTGCAGCAGCATCTGTCTCTTAATATACTGGGAACATACCCATAAACAAAGTAGCTTAGCCTAGTAATAGCTTTTGATTAAAAGCTGTCAATTCAGGGCAATGAAGACAGAGGCATCTTGCACAGAAGGCTAATGTTTAATCTATCTGAGCCTTCAAACCACTGTCCTGTTTGGAAACCACTTTGTTAATTGCTTCAGCATGTCTGACACCCCACCAAGAACCTAGTCACACCAGACACTGCTTACATATCCTGCACCACTATGTACTGGTGAGGGACAAGGCCATCAATTCCGTTGTGCCTTCCTTCCCACCAGTCTTCAGAAGCTCGGTGATAGAGCAGAAGGGAAGCTCCTTTCTTGAAAGAGAGTTCTCGTGCAGATCTTCCAACGTAGTCAAACTTGGCTATAGCTTCTATGGGCTCACACTCTGTGTAGGGAGGGAAGAAGAACGGATACCAGATTCCATACCAGCTTATCTGCTCATTTTGGTTTGATAAAACCCATTTATTGCATTTTCTCAGTGCTCAGTCTTATTGAGCAGAGCTGACAGAAATCAGGTCAGCTAAGACAGACTTCAGGCAGTAGTTATAATATGTGCCTTACAAAGAAACATAATCAATCTGTGCCCCAAGTGTGAAACATCTGGGTTGCTTCGCAAGCTGCAGAAAACATAACCGCATACTCAAATGTTACAATAGCTGCTGCTGGGAGAGAGGTCTCTGCCTCCTGCTGCAAGGGCTTCTTCATGGCTGGGGAGTGGGATGGAGGCCAGGCAATGAAGACCTCTGAAAATAAGATGAACAAACCCAGATGAATAATCAGAGGCCTGAGGAACCAATGTGATAAAGGAAAAGTAAACCAGCGTGCCCTTAACATCCGCAGTGGCAAAGGAAGGAAGACAGGATTTCCCTGTGCATGAGTAAGGATGCTCTGCCTAATTGGGCTATGAGACTTCTGTCTTTTACGTGACAAGTGTGCAGACCTAGTGAAAACCTAGTGTTTTACACTACATGGAAGCCTAGTGCTTTAATCTGCTTCCTTAACACCCTTTTTGAGTGAGGCAGATGGCTCCAGACCGCCTAAGGACAACTCCTCCCTAGGGGCAGTCCCTGTGTGGCCCGAAGTTGCCTAAGGCAGCTCTGCCTGCTCCAACATCCCGAGTTCCTCTGGTTTCTGCAGGGGAGGCTGGTATTTTCTGAAACATTGGTTTCAAACATTGGTTACAGCAGTCCTGGCTAATCTTCTGTCAGTGTGCTGGTAAATTCAGCCTTACACTGGTGATGGACTCCATCCTGTAACCTATGCTTGGGTTGGAAACCTACTGATGTCGGTGAAGGGCCGCTGCTGAATGTCTGCCTGCAGGTATCTTCAGAGCTGTGCCCGGAAATCAGTGAAACTGTTGTGATTTTAACAATCTCTAGTTTCTTCTGCACAAAACCAAAAGCACCTGAGCTCAAACACATCAAAATTCATCACCACAGTTTCAAACATAAAGAAAAACCTGCAAAATACAGGTTTAAAAATCACACACTTTGTTGACTCCGATAACTCAAGAGTCCCCGAAATGACAAATTTCTTTACATAATTAAAGCAATATTTAGATGGAAATTAACATCTGGGCTAACGACTAGCATAGCAACTTTCTGTCTGGTGCAAATTAAAATCGCTGAGGTTGTAATTCCCCAAAGAACCAGGATGGTAATAAAAGCCACGGTCCCTTTATGACAACATTTTGTGCAGGAATGTCTTTTTAAAATTAACTTCATCCTGCAGCAGGAAAACATAATGATAGCACCTTTATTGAGGTTATAGTTTGCAGCTGTTTTTTTTAATAACTTGCCCAGCCTGCAGAAGGCTGTCCTGTGGTTTGCTGCTTCTGCAGTCACACTAAGAGCTCCCGTCAGTGACTCCTAACTGCGGGGTGTTAGGAGTTACAAACCCAGAAACTTTCCAGAGATGGCATACGGTGGTATGGGGAATTCACTGTTACAAATGCAAAAGTAACGTACGCTGGCAGAAATTACTTCCATTACGTAAACGGAAATAAGAATCTAGCAATAACAGTATTAATTCCTAAAAATGCATTGCTACCGGATGGCTCGCTGGCAGGAGCCTTTTCTCTGGTGGGTGGGTGGGGGGGTGATACGTTCTGGAAAACTGGGAAAACTTTAATGCCGGTGTATATATTAGTGATATATTCTAATATACAATCTTGTTTTCATTTCTAGATTATCTACAGTGTATCTCTAACAGAAAGTACAGATGTGACAAAGTGACTATAGGCATGGAAAGACACTATTGCCAAATGAAAAGAAATAAAACCAAACATGCCTGTTTATCTTGCATCATGTTTAAGAGGGCAATATTAAATTGAATAGCAATAACATAACACTGACAAAAGAACGCTGTTTTTACACATATCATGCACGTTACTTGTGGAATTCATTATAAGAAGGTATTACTGGGTTCAGGTAGGATTGAAAAGGAGCAGACGTTTGTATGAACACACTGTTCTCAGATCGTAGGTAAGTTATGGATATGGAAGAAGTGGGTCAAGAATTCAGAAGCAAAAGCTCCCAGGTTTCAGAGAGCCAGTCACTCGCTAACGGGTAAAACGCAAAAAACGGTTAAAACGCAAAAAAAACCCCAACCAAACAAAAATACCTTTACAATAAGTAAGAAAATCTCAATTTTCCTGTATATATTTTCCTTTGATGTTCTCTGAAGTTAACTGACAATGGTCATGGGTACTGGACTGATTCATAAGCCCCTGCACTGATCAGCTATGGGATTTCCCATTTCTGTGCTAATTTCAACAGACCATACAGTATCCCACACTTGAGTATATAGGCCTTTTTATTTACAAATTAGTGGACTAAACTAGAAATAGTTCTATCTCCCTCAGTGGAATTACACTAATCTAAGTGTGGTGCATGGTGGGAATCTGGTTTTTGTACCCTTCCATCGCCTGCAAGACTCACATACGTTCCCAGAGATCTGAAGGAAGTTGCCCTACTGGAACCAGCTGTATGAACTGGTAATGTACGCATAATGGATGTGACTTTTGAGACATGTTCGTTAGATTGTCTGTGTAACAAATCCTACCTCCTCAGGGATCTCACACGGTTTTCTTAATAGAAACAAAAATAAGTTCAGGCAGGTTTTACTATTTTGAAAGGGACATTTTCTGTGCTTGAATGTTGCTTTTACATGGAGAGAACTTTCCTACAGCAAGTAGTACTGAGACTGTACTTAAATAGTAATTCACCTTGTTACAGGTCAAGCCTTAATAGTTAAAACCAAAGTACCATAACAGTTACTCCTAGAAATAAATGCATTTTGAAAAGCTAAGCCATTTAATATCAAGGTTACTGAATGACATACAAGCATTTCCAGAAAAGCAAAGGTGATGAAAGCTAAATTTGGGACCTGTAACTCAAATTCTGTGTGGTACTGAATGTCTAACAGTAAAATTGACGGCTTGGAGGGAAATGTAATTGCACTGCTCAGTCCACACCTGGGGGCATTCGCCTACAATAGCAAGAAGTACTTGATGCCATATAGGATCTTACCAGCTATCATCTCTAGTGACTCAGGCAATGATATGGAAGTGAAAAATTAGGACAAACTGAAGAACTGTGGGAAGAACTTTAGGGACTCTGTTAATCATCCAGCTCTGTTCTCACTTTTTTACTTATGACCCCCAAAGTTTGTTACAATTACTACCACCATTTGATGACACATTATGTTGCAGTGTGCTTAAAAATCAAGGTTTGATGCCAAGTAGAGCTGTCCAGATCCAACAGCTTGGGAGAGCAGAAAGGGCAGAGGAAACATAAGTGCTAATTTTAATTTTGGGAATGGAGTGCCAGATGTAGTACTAACCCCCCTACAGAGGTGATGGTGCTGAAGTGGCACTGCGCTGCCCTCTGCGCCTCAGGGCACAAGGAGCTAAGGAAAAGAGGGGAGACCATCCCCTGCACTTTTGGGGGGGGGTTTGCTGTTGCTCTCCTCTGCTCTTCCTCAGTTCTCCCAGATGTACTCTGGCTGTCGGGAATAGAGCACGCCCTTGAAGTCCCTGGGAAGACGCTATCTCCCAGTGTGTTTATCCTCTTCTGCACCCCATCAGAGAACGCCGGCTTTGCAACTTCAAAGTCCTGTCCTCAGGACAGCCATTCTCTAACTGGGGAACCACAAAAGCAAACAAATGTTGCAAGGTGTTGACAGAACAGAATTTGGCAAAATGTCGATCACGGCATGCGCTACTGAAAAGCAGGAAAACTACTATGTGTTGCGGACACAACAATATCTTACAGCCTTATGTGTCCCTGTAATTTTTGTTTCCAGCAGAACTACCATCTCAATTTTTAGCCTATGTTTATGAGGTATCTATGAACAGTATGATATTAATTATATGTATGTTTTCCCAGGAGAAACCCATCTGTTTAACTTCCTCAGGAAATTCTCTCTTATTTCCTTTGAAAACAAACCTAGTCGCCCTTTTCCATATGCCTCCAACAAGAATAAAAAATCGTCAGCAAACTGAACGTAAAGGAAATATGCTAAAAACTGCTTCAGCAAAACATGAACAATATCCTTCGAATCTTTACTGCAGAGGCACTTTCAGGTAAAGGTTTTTCTGCAGCAAAAATACACATAGATTTTTTTTCTGCCTCAGCTTGAGTACAAATGTTCTGAACTTCACAAATTAAATTTATTTTCCAGATTTAGGAGAAAGAAGAAACTGTATTTTCCTTAATAGGGATACTTTCTGCACATTTAAAAAAGACTGAAAACACTACAGTAAATGCATCTCCTTCCCTCTTCCCTTTCCAGTAATCAACAGAAATATATGAACACCAGTAACCTTAGGAAAAAAAAAAGGCAATTCATATGCTCAAAATTAAGCAGTTATGAAGTGTTTATATGCTCAATTTTAAGTTCCAGCCTTCTTATACCCAAGCTACCAGATTTTACCTCTGCAGACATAATTTATTTTTTAATTTTTAAAAAGTCTTGTTTTCTAAATTGTAATTAAACATTCCTAGTGCTACCGAGCCAGCCCCTACAGATGGGTTTATTCTAGTAGGCACAGAAAGATTCACTTGTAGTTTAACTTTATATAGCAAGTAATTCTTATAACAACAATAACTAAAGTAGAAAAATAAATCCTTTCACTTTTGATCATAGCCTCTGGATTATATTTCAATAACCCTGTAATTCCTATGGGGTTAGCTGCTTGGTCTTGTGTATGTATACAACATTTTAGCATAAAACTAAACAAATTTTCAACATTTAAAAAAAAAAAAACATTAATAGAATCTGCTTCTTTCATTTTGAAACAGAGGGAAACACATAAGTACCACGTGTCTGATCAATACAGCAGCAATGCTGTGCCTCCCTTTCTCTCTCTCCACATATAGCTGGCAGTGATGCATCCACATTATAATCAATGAATCAATCACATTAAACCCCCAAAATACTCCAGACTCTTCAGTGGAAACTTTTTTTTTGTCCACCACAGGTCAATCAGTGACTCTCATTAAGTTCAATACGCAAACCGAAAAACTCACCTACTCTCATGTTTGGTACCAAGAACATTTTATAAAAGGAATTGTCCAAAGGACAAACATATGAATGTATGTGCAAAGAGATGGTGAATGCATTTAATTGAAAGCTTGTAACCTACATTAGAAAAATGTGCTATTATATTGGAAAGCCGTATCCATGGAAAAAAAATGGGTTAGAGCTTTCAGGCTGAGAACCGAAGGCCAACACCGTTTTGTATGCGATCCAGGCTTGCCAATCTTTATCTTTGCAGCAGTATTTCCCTAGATTACAAATATTTTTGTGCTAACAATTATTTCGCTGTAAACACAAATGTCTGCTTCCTTTCGGCACTGAATTAATTAAAAAGGTGTGATGGGGCAACTAGAATTAAGTTGCTGGCCAATCTGGTGAACAAAAAGCCATGTCTTGAGCAGTTAAATCTTTCAACAGAACTCTGTCCTGTTGACAGCTATTCTCTTCAGCGTTTGTCTCCACCAATGACACAGTTGTAACACAGGAATGTAAAACTGTTATTATAACAACACAGTGATGGGGTAGAGCCCATGATTATTGAGGCACAGGTGATGCACTATGCGATGCCATGGCCCTGCTCTTCTGGATCCTGCTGATGTCGTAATCTTTCCTAGGCATGGTTTTGAAGTAACCGCTTTTGATTGCTGCTGAAAAGCTGCACTTCCTTTCCATGCCCACTCAGGCCTTTATCTCTCAGTTTTGTCATGGGATGCCAAAGTTGGCCCCAATATATTGAACTGGTGTGTTGCCTGCGTTTCACTACTTCACTTGTGCTCTAAATGAGAGACAGACAGACTTCTTCAGCTTCCACTCTTGCTTCATGCCTCCAATGGAAGGAGGAGCTCTTATAAAGTATAGCTATACTGTCTTGGGAAAATAAAGCGCAATTATGAGTTCGTTCACACCATTTAGCGGAGCCATGTTACATAAAGACGGTGGGTTTAGCTCTACAGAGCTCGTCAAGAGGAACTGACGTACAGGCTGTCTTGTAAAACTGTCAGTATTCCCTACCGCGTGTGCAGGCATGGGTATACATCTCAGGCAGAAGATTAACATTGACTTCTCTCCTATCCTCAGTTTTTTCCCCCCTTCTGTGATGCCTGCCCACCCAACTGTCCCTCCTCGCCAAACAGCTGCACTGACAGACTATGCCTGCCTCTCCTCACCGCAGCAAAGGGGAAGAGACAGGCAATCTGTCACTGACAGATTGTCTACGTGACAAAGCAGACGGGTACAGCTAGAGTGGAACTATTGTTTACATTGTTTTGTGTGCAGTGGGATCAGTGTAGCCAGGTTTTCTATAGATACACCTTCCTGTTCCCCTTTCCTATGGCAATCATCCCAGCTCCTAACCAGTATCCCTTATGACATCCTTTTTTAAAAAAAGAAGTTTCCTTTTCTGCTGTAGCTCTTTTCCTCCCCTTTCTCCCTCTCTGTCTCTTCCTCTTCCTCCTTCCACACATCCTCTGAGATGGACAAGAAGCAGCTTTTGTTTCTTCTGGTGTTAAGTGCACGTGTGCTAATTGTTCTGTCTGGGTTGCCTGCTGGCCAGATATGCAGTGAGCTCACACTGCAGCTCTTCCCTACATGAACCATTATTCTTAATCCTTCACCTCTAACTGGCTACTAATTGTCAGGAAAATGGTAGTTTTTTAACAGTTTTGACACCTCTTTCCATCTGTTACATTTGCTTGAAACTGGCAGAAGTTACTGGGAGGGACATCTGAAGGATGGTCCAACTGAAATATGTCACAGTCAAATACACCTTTAGGAAACCTGGCTAAAAAGAATTGATATAATAGAGATGCATCAAATTTTTCATGGATATCTATTGCACCCAGAACTCTCAGAGTATATGTGATTAATATTTATAGCAAATGACTGTTGTTCAGAAGTTTCACTGTGGGGGGGTACACACGTGTTCTTCAGTAGTTATAAGTCCTTCAGATGGAACAGCTTTTAAATTCATATCAGAATAGAGCCCACTGAACGGCAAATATCCCTTAGCTGAAATACTTAAAGACATACTTTTGGTAAGTTTAGCTTTTGCAGACAAAAGATAAAGAATCACTAAAAATGTAACATTATATCAAAAAATAATACGTGCTGACGGAAACAGTTTCTCTCTTGCCCTTTCTGTGACTGGACAAATCAGGAGAGAACAAGGAAACAGCTGGTCAAACACGGATGAATCAGAGTGAAAAAGCACACAAACAGAGATTAAAGAAGCCGGCTTTGCTACAGACCACCAGGACTGAAATCCTCTTCTTTCAAATAAGACACTATTAGGAAAGGAAGAAGGTCTCCCGCATGAAACACCTGTAAAACTTATTCCTATCAAAGGCACAGTAATGTAACAGACATACCGTCTTCACTGGTATGGGGCTCTGTACTAGCATCTTGGTCCACTTCCTCTAAGGTACCATGTTCGCTGTATGGGCTGTCACTGAAGGGAAACAAAAGGCCGAGCAGAGAGAGAAACCACAGCATGAAAAGGATGCTTCAGTGGGCATTAAAACCCAGTCCCTTTCTTCCCCAGTCCACTGGGGGTAACTGATGTCTTCCACACATATCAAAAATATGCCACCCCCATGAGATTATTTAAAGTTATTCTTACAAAGTTATGTGCAACATAATTCTAATGACTTGCTATGAATACGCAATTACTGAAGAAGTCTACACACCTCTCCTTCAAACAACATCTTCAGTTATTAAGAAGTTTCCAGAACCTTTGAATCCTTTCATTTATGAAAAGGGGGTGTGTGTCGCTAAGAGAGGAAAGGAGCAGGGGGAAGGCATCATAAGCTGAAATTTGTTAGGATGGTTCACAGTCGGAAAGCCATTTTCTGGCTGTGTGCTCTGCATAGCACACCTGGAATTCTAGCTGCGTCTGGCTGAAGACAAGGGTAGCTTCCTCCACAAAATGTTGTAGGGAACCTCATTGTAATTGCCTTTGCTTCATGTTTTTTACAGCTAACACTTTCCTATGTGAACCTAAATGTTCTTCTCATTTATCTTCATACTTCTACTGTGTGCAAAAGTCATTCTGTATCACAGGAGTTATCCAGACAACCAGTCTAATGATTTTGTTAAGGAGATAGAAGGGTAATATTCTGACTTACCAGTAGTCATCTCCAGCCATGCATTTTTCATACACTGGGCCATCAAGTTCTTTAGCATCTGGAAAAATAGCCTCATGATGGATGATGATAGTTTTGATTATCTCATTCACATGTGCCTGACAAGACACCTGGTCTTGTATGTCTGGAACAGGCATCAGGGTTGGCCCAAAACAAATAGCCAGGTTGTACGGATCCATCATGTTTTCATCACTGTACTGTGAAAGGCTGTTATAACAGAAAAATCAAGAAAAATTGACTTTTCCACTGCAACTAACCTTATTCTGAAAACCGGAGAAACTATTTTCCATCACAACTTAGAGATTTCCTGTTCTTCTTGACACTTAATCCCACATAATGCAACAAACAAAAAAAGAGGATTTCTTCAATAGGCTATACCCATTTTAAAGTGAGTTTATAGCACATATATGTATGTAGACGTATGTGTTCCTACACTATTGTGTTTACTGTACACTGATTTAATGGGCTAATGTAAAGTGCATCAACTGCTGCTGCTTCCAACTCATCAGTGCTTATCCTTGGAGGCCCAAGTGGACTGGATCCAAAGTGGATCACGCTTATCATTTCTCATCAGACCCTGATGCACCTCTCCCATCAACTAGCTATATAACTTAAGCAGACTGAATTGTTTTCTGGAGGTAGCTAGGTTCCTGGATCTTGCCAAGGCTCTTGTGACTTCTGGTTTCTGTTTTTACCATACAACCTAAAATCCCTGAGCACCTTGCCTGCTGCCCACAAACTCCCACAGGGGTTTCATTTTGGAAGCAACCAAACAAAAGGCTTTGATTGTTCTTATTAATCAACTTTTGCAAGGTCTCCTCTCCTCCAGAAAATTCAACATTACTAGCTTTCAATTTTGATTTTGAATGAAAAGTTGCTCTTTATTCCCGTGTTTAAAAGCCTTGGCATTACTAGTCGAAATGCTGGCTTTTGAGTGGTTCTGTGCAGGGCCAGTCAAACAGAACCTGAAGCACTGGGACGCCCTTTATCTCAGTGCTGTTCTGCACTCTGAAGCAGCATATGAATTGGTATGTCTGGTTGTGTTTAAATACAGCATCATATTCCCTTTAGAAAGGGAATTTTATAGAGTGTACATGTACAAACAATATAGACTGAAGAGGTAAACCTTCTAAATGACTCCCTTCATAACTAGCTTGTAAAATTAATCATGCTCTCCTCTTTTTTATGTCATGATTTGTTATCACATCCTGTGCGTTAATCGGAGACATCTTGTTCTACTGATTTATAAGGTGGTTCAGCCTTTAAATGTGTGCAAGAATGTGTAAAAAAGATTATCATCGTGAAACAGGTGAAGTTCTGCTGGTGGCTGGTAACAAGTGGTGCTTCTCAGGGCTCAATACTGGGGCTGATACTGTTCAACATCTTCATGAATGGCCTAGACGATAGGATGGAGTGCACACTCAGCCAGCTTACAGATGATGCCACGCTGTGGGGGACAGCAGATATGCTAAAGGGCAGGGTTACCATTTAGAAGGACCTTGACAAGATGGAGGAATGGATGAACAGGGATTTCATCAAGTTCAACAAGGATGAATGCAAAGTCCTGCCAGTGGGATGAAATAATCCCATGTATTATTACAGTCTGGAGCTGACTGTTAGCTCCCAAGGAAAAGCACTGGGAAAAGCACTTCTTGTCAAGAAGCTGGACATGATTCAGCAGTGTGTCTTCCAGCGATGAAGGCTAGTTACATATGTGTCTCTATTAGGAAGAGCAAAGCCAGCAGCTCAAGGGAACTGATTATTCCCCCTCCACTTGGTGCTAATGAAGTCAAGACAAAGCCTTGAGCAAATTGATCTAACTTTAGAAGCTTTGAGCAGGACGCTAGACCAGATGAGGAAAAGCTGTGAGGTCTCACGATTTCATGTGGCCAAGCAGGGCTAACTGCACATGCAAAAAGCAGAACTGGATTTGCAGAAAGTCAAACTATGGGAATGTTTTTCCTGTGGATGCACCAGGAGCAGTTTGGAGGCATATGAGATCTGCTTTCTGAATTGCATTCCTGTGGAGAGCACAGATGTAGCTAACACGACCATGTAACAAGTACAACCTCGTATAACTGGCCAATCTGTATGTCTAAGTAGAGGAGAACTGTGATATAAGCCTATGAGATATTTACACACTGTCACTATAGAGGGATGAATTCATGTTTTCAATGAATGATTATTTTCATAAAACTTTAGATCTCCGCCCCTCTTTTAAATACTGCTTGAAAGTGGTTCAGAAATTACTAGAAGAAAGGAAACGGGAACAGCTGTGAATACAGGCACGCACACACAACCTGGCTGCAAAGACCCTGTTTCTATAGGAACAGACAGGATGGATGAAATGGGGAAGGTCACAAAGACAGAATGAATCAGCCAAGGGCAAATTTAGAAAAAAAAGAGGAAAAAAGCAATATGAAAACAGATATAACAGGAAACAGACAATATGGCAGCAGAAAGAGAAAAGCTAGAATCAGGGCAAAGTGCACAAGAAGCAAAATTTGCAGTGAAAATACTGGGGTCAGCAAAACCAGAGAGGGTTGTGAAGGACTGGAGGAAGAAAAACAGTGCAATTGCCCAACCTGTCTTTTATTTTCTCTTTGAGAATGAAGTAGTTTTTCTGGGATGATGATGAAGACACAAACACCACCTTCCCTTTCTCACACAACCCTCCTTGCAGCAGCTGCCTGTGTTTTGCAATGTGAGAACCAAGCTACTTTATGTCAAAGCATACACAGGGGATGTATGTTCTCTATACTGGTAGCCCTATTACCAGAAAACAGAAGCAGCAACACAAAGTCTCACCCTGGCAGTGCCTAGCATCAAATAGGTAGCTTGTAGTGCCTGTGCTACTTGAATATACTGTTTATTTTTCCCACCAGGAGATTAAAATCAGCTTGAGATAAGGAAAAAAAAATCTACTTTTAAATTATGTAAATTATTTTAAATGTAGTTGCAGTTTTTCTTTGTTATTTTTCTTACCAGCTTATTTTGTTACCAGCTTTAATGCTGTAGCCTGCACTCCCCATTTCAGACAACACTTTAATCTGTCTTATTACAGCCTTGCTCAGTTTTGGACAAATGGAATTTTAATTTGAATGAAAACTGGTGTTTTCCTTCTATTTTCATTGCCAATTAGAAGATCATATTTTGTGTTAAATGGAGCTTAAATGTAAATTCTACGTAGAGTATGAGTAAACCCAAAGAACTTCAATACCAGCAGAGGAAAGCAGATAAAGATACAGTACCTTGGGGAATGATAAAGCACTTACTGGTTGAGGAAGGCGAAGAGGTACCTCATCACTATAAGGACCGACCTGGGCAAAGTAAGGAGGAGTTTGCGGATGTGAAGAGCCCTCTCATAGAGATTGTCTATTCCTGCAAACAGAAAAAAGTATTTTAAGTTCCCTTTCATATGATGATCTAAAATAGCATTCAGTCAGTTTACTCAATTTACCATCACATGTCCCTAGCCAATATCTTCTCATTTTTGCCTATTAGAAAAATAAGATCTAAAAGCCCTTCTCCCTCTCATTAAAACCACACAGTTTAAAAGTAACATCTTTAAATATAAGAAGCCACAAAATCTGCCTAAGTCAAACCCTGTGCCACTTGCTGAGCTAGACAGCTCACAAAACCACAATAACAGTAGATAAATCCAAGGAACCAAGGAGAGATGTTTGCCATCAGTTTCAAATACAGATTCATTCTCTTTATTTGAATTTTCATATCAGACATAATATTCCAATCACCAAGCTTCTCTAATGAGTTTTCTTAATCAAATATCCAGCTATAACCCTCCTAATGGCAAAGTAGGAGAAAGGCCTTATGTTTTACAGTGTGTAAGCAACAAACACAAAGATTACATGTATTTTCCCAAATGATTTTATAGCAGTCCACCAAAATTCTTCTGAAGCAGGCAAAACAAGGTCAGCTTAATAAAAGCATCAGTTCCTAATGTCTTATAACAAGGATGCATTATCTCCTATGTTGGTCAGAAGGATTATGTGACTCCAAGTGGGGTAGCGATGGGATAAAAGGATAAATTGTTTTAAAATAAGTAATATCTCAATTTTTTACTCAATGTGTTTTCTGTGTAAATGACACTGTTAGAAACAACCTAAAATTTCAGTAATGCTTTTTACGTCAGTCAAGAAAGAATGCTGCAATTAACAATATCTAGGGGAAATCTTAGCTGGAAGACACACTGCTGAATCATGTCCAACTTCTTGTCCAAGAAGTGCTTTTCCCAGTACGTGAGAAATACTGTCCAGTGGCACTGAAATGGATATTCAAAAATTTGGAAATGAGACACAGAAGCTGATTCCAATAGCTGAAAAGCCATTTGTACCACAAAATGTGATATCTAACAGCACACATCTAAAGTAATTACTTATACAAAAACATGCTAACTGTAAACAGAGTCCCTGTTTTTGTGCTCTTTGGTATGGCTATTTCTACTAATCAGCATGTATTTGTGGATGCAAAATGTGTGTTGACTTACATTTCTTAGAATAACAACTGGTGTCTAGTGATTAGTATTTTGGTACCAAGAACTACGTGTAAGCAAAGCGTGTTGGCAGCGAGACCTCTGTTTACCACACAGAAGTGCTGAACTTCATTAGGAAATGCCAGTGTAGTAAGCTAAGGGGGAAAACCTGTTCCCACACCTGCATTTACAGGAGATCCCACTGCCTCTGCACCACTAGTGTGCTGGGGAACAGAAGATTTTGGGATGGGGTGAGGCTTGTCTCCTTGGGAGTTTCTGCAGAAGGAGAACAGCCCACCACTGCTTGCATGAAAGAAGCCCGTTTGGATTGTGGTATCTACTGCAGGAGCAGCAAAGCGAAACTCCTGCGGGAGGTAAAATCCTATTCCCTAGCAGAGCGGCTGAAGGCTGGAACGGTGTCCCTGCTGAGATGCCACTGACTGCTGCGGAGCTGGTGAGGAAAAGGACTGCTGACAAGTTGTATAATTTATAACCTAATGAGTCACACTGAACCCAAACTCTAGATGAAAATCAGTTCAAGCCATTACACTTTCTCTAGTGGAGTATGGGACTTGAAATCTATTTTCATGTTTCTGTTAAACCTGGACTGCATGAATCAAGAAGAAGTATTCCTGGTTAAGAACTGGAGTCGATCTACAGAGCAACCACAATTCTCCTCTCCCTTTCCAGTGCATACCACATCTTGGAGACGCTAATGCTACGTACCCTCACTTCTGTACTGTAGTGCCACACTGCTGTTCTGCACAGTCCACAGACACCAGTTTTAGTCCAAGGCCTCTCTCCACCTGCCTAAACTAAGCAACTCTCCAAAACTAAGTGGAAGGAGCCTGACTGCATCTTCAGTTCCCGATCTTCCAACAAAAGCAGCTGCTGTTATGGCTAGTAGCACCTTATGAGTCTCCGGGCCAGCCGACCTTCCCCCTGTCTCCGAGTCTTTCTATGCAGAGTTGTAGGTCTGGGTGGTTTTCATAGAATTATAGAATCATGGAATCATTAAGGTTGGAAAAGACCTCTAAGATCATCAAGTCCAACCATCAACCCAACACTATCAGACCCACTAAACCATGTCCCTAAGCGCCTCATCTACACGTCTTTTAAATACTTCCAGGGATGGTGACTCCACCACTGCCCTGGGCAGCCTGTTCCAAGGCCTGACCACTCCTTCAGTAAAGAAATTTTTCCTAATGTCCAGTCTAAACCTCCCCTGAGGTTTTGAGCCTGTGTGCGTGTGCGCAGGTGGATTTTCTATGGAGTGGGCCTGAGGGAGGAAGGTCCAAAGGCGCTTTGGTTACGTCTTGCAACACTCTTGCCTCAGCAGCACTGCTGTGCGGTGCGGTGGCACAGCTCCTCTCCAGCCTTGCCGCCCTGCGTGCTGGATGTGGGAAGCTGGAGGGAAGTTGTAGCGCAGCACCAGGTCCTGCCTTCTGCATTAAAGCCTTTCCTGGCTAATGCCTTGTGCTCCAGATCTGCCTCTTACAGCCAGTTCTGGAGACCGGCCCTGGACTAGGTTCAGTCATTGCTGAACTCAAATCAGACCTAAGAAATGCACTGGCCGGGCTCCCAGGTGGGTCCAGCGGCTCCTTCCAGCACTGCGCTGCCTATCCAGATGCAATAGCACTGTCTAACCTAGTGAGCTAAACCAGGATGGGGCACAGTTTTGAACACCGGCAGGCAGCTACCACACAGTAGTTATCACACTCTTCAATGTGCTTGTTGTCTGTGCCAACTACAACTCTTCCAAGCGGTTCCTAGACATGGTTCACAGGATGCACAGGCCAGGAACTGGTCTCAGTAGGCAGCATAGACACGGCAGAGTAGGTACAGAGAGTTTGGCTGTATAGCCATGTGTTGAGCTATCCCAGCTGCCCTACAAGGAGCATGATCAGTACTAAGTACTAGCAGGTCACCTCTATACTGAAGCAGTTACAAGCTATACATGCTGGAATGAGGTGTGTGTATTTCCAATACCTTCCTGGTAACCCAGTCCCAGTTTCCATGAAAGCCCCTTTATTGAAAATCCAAACTACTGCCAAGTGGTAAATTCGTGTGCTTTCCACGTTATTTCAAAAGGCTTGTTTTTCTTTCTCAGCACTGATTTCATTTAAAGGCAATAGGTAATAATGTTATGTATTTGCGTGCTGCTTTTAAATGAGGAGCCAAATTTCATAGTTGCTTGTATGTATGCAGTGCGTGAGTGTTTGGGTATGTAGGAAGGAAGGAATGAATACAGAGCGATCTTTCTGCATCCAGGCAGAAAGAATTTGCAGCTCTGCTGCTTCCCATGCAGAGGGAAGAGAAAGCATTGCTTTGCCTCCACCGGATTTGCTGGAGAGCCTCGGGGCAGAACGGCCATCCAGGCTACAAGCTGGTTGCTGCGAGAAACCACTGGCAATCCCAACACTGCAGAAAGCTGATTGCGTCTGCCCTCTCACAGCACTTCTGTTGGAGGCCCTCTTTTCATTACTCTGATTTTCAAGAACTGTAATGAGCCCTACCTCAGCGCCTGGTGAGGTATTACCCACTTCTCAGCTAAGAAAACTGAAGTGCTGATATTATATGACTTGTCCTAATAATGCAATTAGCTGTCGAGCAGAAATAGAAATCAGGGGATTTGAAAACTGGTTCATTACTCTAATGATAGGATGAGACTCACACTCCCAAACACAAGCAACAGGACAAGCCTCTGGCAAGGCCAAGCACACGGAGAACTAACGTGTTTTTTCTGACTGTGGAGTGAGGGAGGGAAGGGAGATCTGTGTGAAGGACACATGAATATCAACCACAAATCAAGACTACAGTCAGGTAAATATCACAAATAGAAACAGTTACTATTTTCTAGTTCCCAGTTCTCAGAGCAGAGCAAAACTTTTGGAGCTCTGGTCTGACACACCTGCCTTCCAGACCCGTCTCAGCCACGGGAGTCAAACCCACACGAAGGAGAGTTTCCTGCCAGCCAGACGAGAAGGTATTTGGCGTGGAAACACGTGCTCCTGTCAAAGTGGAGCCACAGTGCAGCCCAGAGCACAGGAGACATTTGTGGGGTGAAACAAGAGAAGGGGAAGAGGCCAGCTTCTGGGGCTTCGTGACTATAGCACTCTGTGGAAGAGCTGGGCACCTGTGCCCAGAACTGTTAATGTATTTTTACCAGACAGTACGGGAGCAAAGCACCGTAATAATATAAGGAGCTTGGTTTTCTGTGTATCCATAAAATTATCTAGACATCTAAGCATCAGAAGTGTTTGGGATCTAAGGATCCTCCATCAGCTACTACAAAAAATGAAAAACAGAGAGCTCGGAGGACTCTTCAGAGATCATTTAAGTCTACAATCTCACCCTTTGACTTCACCTTAATCACCTCTGAGAGATGTTTGTCCAACCTGTTCATAAAATCCTCTGAAGAGGCAGATCACAACCTCCACAAGAAAATCTGTTGAGGTGCAGTCTTGCATTGCTCTTGGAAAAGATTTATTTATTGATCTCCCATGGACTTCCTCTGCAAGCACTCCTTGTCCTTGAACCGGATGAATGAATCCAGCTGAGACTAATGTCATTGCATAAATGAAAGAATTACTTATCAGCTAGCTGCCTCTTTGTCAGCCATTGGCTAAGGACCAGTTCTCAAAAGCTTGAGATAGGCATAAATCCTAGCCACTCAAGCCTTAAAAGGTGTGATCTTCAGCCTCCAAGAACACTGGAACCTGTTCTGGAGAGGTGGTGTCACCTTTGCTTGCTGCAGAGACACACAGAATCAATGAATGTCCACTTTTCTCTTCCATGAGAAATAACAAGTTTTAACCACCTGGTGACTCACAATGAGGTTTTTGCAAAGGCAGACTCTAAAATGAAACAGATCAAAAGTGAACAATCT